TGTTCATTTTCCAACTTCAAAGTGAATTGAATCCCATCTATCCTTGAGTTCATGTATAGATTATAAGGACTTAAGCTACGTTCAGGTTTTAACAGAGTGAATGTGTTATTCACATATCTCTGTCATTACCTAGGAACGGAGTTAAACGATTTAAGGGCTTTACGATCCCAACTATCTATAAGTATGTCCACGACTTTGAGAGATCTAAATGATTCAACTCCGACGGGTTCGTTTGTTTGTATATTTTGAAATTGGAATACAGTGAAGGTTATATATGGTTGTAAGCTTAGTATGATTTCATCAACCGAGAGTTCAGTCCCTTTGTCAGTTCATAATCACTGTCCAGTCTATTCCTAACTACTTCCAGGACTGCATTAAGTGGGACATGAGTGTGCAAACTTGTTACATCGAAACCAATCATTTCTTTTCATCCTTTTCTATTTGAATTTCATCAAGTTTTCGTCTCTTTACGTGTGAATTAGCCTAAAAGGGTAACCTGCTTTATGAATTTGAGTAGTGAGATAGATTCTACTAGGATTATTATTTATAGGCATTAACGTAAACCCCATTTTGACTCACCCACAAATTAATAAAATCAGAACACGTAGTTCAGTGAAGAGTCTCTTTTCGGTGGCGAATTCATTCACTTAACTGTACAATCTCAGTCGTACTTCTATGTTGCTGTGGAGACAGATACATTGGCCGTTCAACGCGTATCCTGTCCAAAAGGGTTCAAGAACACTATCCCACAGCATGGCTGCAAAAAGGGAGCAGTAGCTTTATGAGGATTGCGATGATCGAACATATCGTCAACACTGGTCATTGCATCTCAACAAACATCTCCTGCTTCAAAGTGATCTACAAAGTGAAGAACAACCTACCAAAGGCAATACGCTTTCGTCTCCTTTGTATCGCTGAAGCCTTAGCCATTCATTCATTTGGAGAAACCACAGTTATGCATACAAAAGAAAATCATCCAACCACTTCTAGTATCATGGTAACAACCGTACTGCTTTTTACTGACTTGATGTTTGTGTGCTTATTTTTTTCTACCTCCTTAGAACATTTGTAATCTCTAGAATTCTTACATAATTCCATATTTGCATTTTTTTTCTATATGCATCCGAATCACAACTCACTCATTAAACAATTCATCTTGTTACGTAAATGAATTCCGCGTATTCAACCTCTTTTATGTGTTAATAAATATGTTTTTCGACAACACATCACCACTACCCTCTTACCAATCTTCATCGCCCCTCCCGTGGTTACAGTTTGATTACTCATCACATTTTTGAAATGTCTTAACAGTAACCCTAACTTACTTTTATTCTTATCGGACAAAGCTAATATGCCCACACACATACAAAAAGAATAAGTATATATAATTGCGACTGTACAGCTAAGTGAATGAATTCACCGCCGAAAAGAGACTCTTCGGTGAACTACACGTGTTTTGTTTGTCATTAATGTCTGGATGGGGGTTATTCACCCAGAAATGACTTTATTTAGCGTACTACATCCACTGTAGATTTATTTGATCTTATTCATAACCGTAACTAAAGGTTTTTTAAACTCAACAAATCAGGTCTTCAAAGGTATCAAATTATCGAGAGAGTAAAACATTGCCTTGCCTCAAGGTTGACTTAAAACGAGAGAAAAAAATCGATTTCAGTAATGTTAATAATATCTGTGCGAAAAATTGTTTCATGCGACAGAAATCTGTGACTGTACTAGTGTCTTTTTTATTCCTTCACTTTCCCAGTGGAACATAGGGTTTCAAGCTAGAGGCTTGAAGTTTCTGTAGCAGTGTTTATTTTACAGGATGGGGTTGCTAGCCTCATGCCCAACCTTCCCTCTTTGCCAGTTCTATTACTGGCTTAGCGAGGTAAAGGAGTGCATCCGCACAAGCAGCTGACATGTCAACAGAAGCGGGACATTCCAGTCCAGTCAGTCAGTAGGAAAATCAAATTTGAATGAAAAATTAATAATAACTGACACTGGTTGCACAAGAGGCGGTGGCTCTCGGGGCCCATGTTGTCTGACGGATAACGCTTTGACCTTTGAAACGATGGGTGTCGGGTTCGAGCCATCACTGACTGTGGAATGCAGGTACATCCACCAGCAGATGGTTCCTAGGTGGGAAGAAATGCTCATCTTGGATTCCACTGTTAGTCACCATCCATCAAGTCAATTCTTTAGAGGCATTCAGCTCTCATGAAAAGGTGAGAAGTTTAAATCTTATTGTTTATAAATACTGATGAATAGGTGGGTGGGGGGAACTGTCTGAGAAAGTCTGGAGTCATCAAGTCCTGAGAATGAAATTGACGGCCAAAGGTGAAGTGAAAATTTGTGACGTGGCGGGATATGAATCTGTGGCCTCCGAAGGACTAGTCCATTTCTAGACCAACTACGCGATGAGACTCAACCACCAAGCCAAGGCTATTTCGAACATCAATTGTAAATAAATCTTGATTCATAAAAGTGTCACTTTCATTAAACTGCAGAAATGCCACCATTCTTGTTATTGATTTCTGGAAGAAAATAGATTCCATTGAACGTTGAACACAAAGTTGTTGCAGTTAAAGTTGAAGGAAGGTAAGAGAATTTTTAGATAATGTAGATATCATGGAGAAGAAGACAATTGTTTTGTAATATACTAGGCATTCATTACATCCTTCTAACCTTCTCCTTAGCTCAATAAAACATTAATGAAACGACAAAATGTTCAACTAATAAAAAATTAATATGGGCTTACTAGAAATAGGTGAAGAATGGTGATTGAGAGAACAGAAACGAAAGTTTGAAATTTACTGTGGTGGTAGTGCATTATTACAGATTGTGATTAACACAATTGATTGGATACCGAAAATTGCATTACTAGACTGTATCACCGTGTGTAGTTTGTCGACTATCTCAGGTTATTATCAAGTTTTGGTTTGTAAGGATTTGATTGTTTCATGAGTTGACATCAGCTAGAGAACCATTGGAAAACCAGCAGGGAGTACTGGACAGTTGTTTCGACCTAGTGAAAAGTCGTTACCAGTGGGATCCACCATGTAAGGTAAGGGAACAGTTACTCGCCCATAACATTACCTGGCATTTGTACTATATATATATCACGAATTTGTAGACGTTGGGATTCATGGCTTGGCCACTGGATCGGGTCTCAGTTGCTGAGTGGTCTACGAGCTAGCCTTGCTACTGGGAGGTCCTTGGTTCAAACGTGTAGTGTGTACATACTGCTATGGATTCCTAAACTAGGTTGACGCAGCAGCTGTCCAGTACTCCAGTGCTGGTTATCCATTGGTTCTGTAACTCATGTCAACTCATGATCATATCGATATCCTGGATAAATCGTCAGTGTTAGTTTGAAGTTGATAGTTTAATAGGTGTTCTGTTATTGAGCTGTTGATGAAATCCGATTTGAAAGACAAAATACTCCATACGAATGCCCTAAAATAAATTTATACCTTTCCGTATATCAAATGCATTTCCTTTAGCATGTACATATGATTACTAAATAGTGTAAGATTTCATAAGACCGATAATCATTAAATTTCCGTTCCATCCACTGTATTATTAATTCTATACAGAACACGTTTTTCACATCTAACAGTGTTCTGCCCAGGGCTGATTCAAGCCATCGATAGATGTGATCGCCAGGAAAATAATCAATCGAACAGATGTAAGTCGTGCTTTCAATTTTAACAGCATTTAACATTCTCTTATTAAAAATTTTATCATGCTATACATTAATCTTCAAGTTTAATATTGTACCTGAAATCCAGTTTTGATTTCCTCGTTGATTGGTTGGATCGAAATATTGGACCTCTGTCGACATATCGGCTCCTTGTATGGATGCCTTAACGATATCTGAAGTAATTTGGTGGATGGTGACTAGTAGTGGAATCCAGGATAACACGCATTTCGTCCTGTTCGGGGCTGACTCGTCAGCTGGTCGTATCTGCATTCCCCAGTGAGTGGTGAAAGGTGTTCTCACTGAGGCTCGAACCCAATACCCAGACTCTCAAATGTCAAAGAATTATCAGCCTGACCACCTGGACCACGACAGCCATTTCTTGTGCAACGGGTGCATCCACACAAGGAGGCGACAGTCAACAGAGTGGAACATTCCAGTCCAGTCAGTCAGTAGGAAAATCAAAGTTGAATGAAAAATAAATAATAACTGACACTCGTTGCACAAAAGGCGGTGGCTCTCTGGACCCAAGTCATTGGATAGATAACGCTTCGGGCCTCAGTGGGAATACCATCTCTGACTGCGAAATGTAGGTACATCCATCAGTGGAGGATTCCTAGGTGGGAAGAAATGCGCATCTTGGATTCTACTGCTAGTCACCATCCTCCAAGTCAATTCTTTAGAGGCATTCAGCTCTCATGAAAAGTGAGAAGTTTAAATCTAATTGTTTGTTAATACGGATGAATGGATGCGTTTGGGGGGGGGGGGGAACTGTCTGAGATAGTCTGGAGTCACCCATTCTTGAGAGCAAAATTGACGGCCGAAGGTGAAATGAAAATTTGTGACGTGGTGGGATATGAATCTGTGGCCTCCGAAGGACTAGTCCAGTTCTCTACTAGTTACGCGATGAGACTCAACCACCAAGCCAAGGTTATTTCGGACAGTATTCACATCAATTGTAAATAAATCTTGATTCATAAAAGTGTCACTTTCATTAAACTGTAGAAATGCCACCATTCTAATTAAATATCAATAGCGTGTTTAGTGTAAAATAAATATTTAACTTATTTTCATAACAAAAAGTGTTTCAATTACGAATTGACAATATAAGACATTCACAATTTAACCGATTAATATAAACAAACGGATAATAATAATAATAATTAAATGTTCAATATGGCTTCAGATTCACTTTCAATGAGAATCGTATTGTTTATACTTATTTAATAGGTACACGTTCTTTTCAGATATGATATTATAAAATTATAGAAAGTAAATAGAAAGTTCACATCAAATATACTACTTAATTAGAATATTGATAAGTAGGAATTCAACACGTCAGTCTTTAGAATTCATAAGGTGGTTGGTTGTTTTTATTTATATGTACCATTTCAAATGTTGTTATGGGAGTGTACGAAGTTGAAATCTATTCAGAAACTGTGTCTGTTTTGACTATATGAATGTTTTTAATCGACTTTCAAGGATTGGTTTATGGTTTACGGTGTGCCACCGACAATTATACATCTCATCCAACAGTTGTACGACAATGCTGCATGCCAAGTAATCCACAACAGGAAACTTACGGAATCCTTAGAAGTGAGGACAGGAGTAAGACAAGGCTGCCTACTATCGCCAATGATTTTCCTGATTGCAGTAAACTGGATAGTGCGACAAACAGTGGACAATGAGGAAACAGGCATAAAATGGACTCACACAAAAACCCGGAGGATCTGGACTTCGCCGATGATATATGTCTGATTTCTCACAAACTGGAAGATATGCAAGTGGAAGGCAACAAGTTGGCAGAAGAAGCATCCAGAGAAGATAGGACTTCAGGTGAACATAGAGAAAACAGAAGTGATGAAGATTCCCGGGCAACACCACCAACAGCAGCAACAACAACAACAACATACAACAATCAGCATAAATGGGAGGAACCTGAAAGAAGCAACCTCCTTCACCACCTACCTGGGTAGCATCGTTTCAACTACAGGCAGACGGAACTGACGAGGATATCAAAGCAAGAATCGGGGAAGCAAGACAAGCTTTCATTACTCTCAAGCCTGTGTGGAGGTCAACAACACTCAGCATGAAAAATAAGATCCAGATTTTCAACTCCAATGTAAAGTCAGTGCTACTTACTATACGGATCAGAGACTTGGCCAGCGCGTCATAAAGAGCATCTCAAACAAACTACAGACCTTCATTAACAGTTGTCTTCGCTCAATACTCAAGATCAGATGGCCGGCCAGAAAAGATCAACAACAGGGTGGGATCTCTGGGAGCGAACCAATGCAGCAGGAACCGATTGTGAAACAAATAGGCAGGAAGAAATGGAGATGGATTATCCAAACTCTGAGGAAACAAACCATCAAGTGACATCACTAGACAAGCCATTGCTCGAGTGGAACCCGAATGGGAAGTGGCGAGTTGGTCGTCAGTGCAAGGGTGACTTGGAGGAGGTCATGTGAAGAAGAGATGAAAACTCGTGGGCAGACTTGGAGCCAGGTGAATACTCTAGCAGAGAACCGAACGCAATGGAGACGCACGGCTGAAGCCATATGTTCCTCTAGGAACTAAAGGAAACAATAATAATAATGATAAAATCGATCAGAAGATATACTGAAAAAGGCTGTATTCATCAATCTGCAGATTTGATGTCATAAATGTACATTTCAATCAACAGAACAACTGTGTAAGTTCTTATCAGTTCAGCTCTATGGATTAAAATGCGTCTGTTTGCAGTTCAAATCTGTTAGTTATTGCATTTTTATTTTCAGAACAGAGACTACACTAATGGCTAGATCCATGATCATTAGTGTATATATTGGTTCTTCAAGTGACTGTCTGGATGATTAACCAACTCAACAAGTGATTATCTCATCAACATGGAACTTTTGCACGAAACCACATCAGTTCAACAAGTCTTGTGTCAAAAAGGCTACGTCTCAAGGGAATAAGTGTTTTCAGTAGTGCCGCATTACCAGGCATCTCCTTGATATGTGTCATAAGGTGGATATCGCGAGATCCTTTACAATTATCGATAGACAAAACAAATACTCAGTTCTACTCAAGTTTGCCGAAGAAGTCTCTATCAAATGCCTGAGAACCGATTTATGTATTCAGGAAGAAGCAGTTGTCAGTTTTTCGTTGCCCTGGTAACTGGATATCTTTACTCTCTCTCTCTTTCAGTTGATTGCATAATCTTCGGCTTTAAAGTCAACCCTATTTGATAATTTTGCTTGTCTTGAACTCAGTACCCTGTTACTCATCATCTTACTCACCACTCGTCTTTATTACTTGAGTCCATTTTCATTATATGCATACATTGATTTCCGTTTAAACTTGAACTGTCTAGTGAAAATTATATAAGTGTAACTTTCAAAGCACTGTTTATTAAGTTTGCAGCCTGCTGTTAGATGACATCATGTAACATTTGCAAGTATACATTTGTAAAAATTATATTTGTACAATCTCAGCATTGAATTGAAATGATTAATTCCAACGTTTCGTCCGGTAATCTGTTCCGAACTTCTTTGGTAAAATTTCAGCGAAATATAATTTTTTACAAATGTCTAGTTCTCACTCAGCGCCCAATTATCTTGGAGCTATTCGGTCAAATCTTGATCATAGTTCCCATGAATCTGCATGTATGTTAAGTACATAAACTTTAGTAGTTTCATTTAGGCTGTACGCAGCTGATGAGAAGAAATAACAATGATGCCATCACCTTATTCTTCACAAACTGTCGCTCTTGCTTTGGTCAAAGTCCTAGGGAAGATGACTCAATGAAGCTGCAATAGACGAAGATGCACAGGAGACGGAATTATTATTAGATTAGGGTTAAGACTTCAAGTGACTCCCGACTTTTACCTAAATCTCTTCAGATATCGTACAAATAAGTAATAAAGAGCTCCATGCTAAACTTAATCTTTTCCGCCTATCTAAAATCAGAATATTAGAAACATTAGTCGTGTAATCTTACCGAATGCCAATTCTGAAGTGAAAAGGGACTGATTGTACGATTGTCACTGAATATGCTTTGAAGTAGATTTATATTGTTCAGGAAACTGTTGTTTCTAGAAGGTTGTTGAAAATCTGTGATGAGTTAGTGTCAAACAGTTTTAAGTCATACTCCTTATGAGTTTGCTTTTAACATATGACATTTTATCTCATAGTTTAATGTCCACAGTGTTCTACAATACGGCTATCAGCCGATTAGTGCAAGCCTTAAAAAAGCATAAACTAATGGGCATTGCGTAACTTGTTTTTGTTCACCGATTTCCTACAAAATTGCATCTTACATCATTAACCCCTTTTATGCTCTAAGTTTTTACGTGATTTATTAGTAATTATCCATATTATTCATGGTGTGGTGTGTGCTACTGACAAGATTTATCAGTAGCATAAAACGCGAAAGAACCTTGAAGACCTGAATTTCGCGGATGATTTATTTTTGATGTCACACAAAATCGAAGACTTACAAGCGGATTTTCAATACAAACCTCAAGTCAGTCAGTTCTTCTATACGGATCAGAAACTTGGCCAGCGGGTCACAAAGAATATTTCCAACAGCCTGTTGCAGACCTTTACCAACAGCTGTCTTCGTTCTATACTGAAGATCAGATGGCCGGAAAGAATCACAAACAAGAAGCTATGGGAACGAACAAACGAAACAAGAACCAATCACCCAACAAATATGCAGGAGAAAGTGGAGATGGATTGGACTCACTCGCTGAGGAGGCCTCTGGGTGACATCGCGCGTCAGGCGATAACTCGAATGGAACCTGAAAGGGAATCGGCGAGTGGGACGTCCAAGGGTGATATGGAGGAGATCGTGTGAAGAGTAGTTGAAACAGTATGAACTAACATGGATGTAGGTGAAAAGTACAGCAGAAGACAGAAGCAAGTGGAGACGTGTAGTTGAAGCCCTATGTTCCACTAGGAACCCAAGGGAACAATAATAATAATAATATAACGAGAATTTCAATTCAACACAAAAATATCAAATAACACAGAGATAGATTTCTCATCAAAGAGAAGAAATGAGTCAGGGTTGCGGCAAAACACGGGAGACACGAAAAGAAGATAAGGCAACACAATACGATAGGCAGAATTAGCACATTGCAGAAGATCTATGCAAATGACAGTTTTCAGATAAGGTGTGCATACTTTCCCTATATAATAGAGATTTTAAATTTCAAGTAAACACTCTTTTACCAAGCCTCTTGTTTTCTGCCCTTCCGATGGTAGTCTATTCTACTTAGAATATGGTCTTTAAAATGTCATAATAATAATAATGAGATGTTCAAAATGAAGCCGAGATATACAAAGTTAGTTCTCTTCACCACTGTTAGTTACACTGATATTTAACATAGTTTATGGATGCATTTTAGGAAATTTACATTACCCGGTTGATCTAAGTAACCACTTTTAACAACTTTGTTCGATGATTCCAATAAAATCACTTTCAACAAATAGATAAACAAACATGCGTAAAAAAATCTATAAAGTTTTAATGAAACTTACTGTTTATTGTTTGCTTTGATAGACATTAATGGTGCTGATATTCTTCTGAAGAGGAGAAAAAGAAATGATTAAAACGCCAGATTAGAAATGACATTACAGTGGCGGAACTTTTAAACAAAGAAATATATTTGTTAAACGAAAACAAATTTCCAAAGTATTGTAATCTGTAAAAATACTTTATTCGATCAAGTTAGCATCGCTGGGGTGCAGTGATCAATTTCAACGCTTTTATTCCTTGCCGAGTCGATTTCACCTGTGTAATCATAAAAAGTCAGGAAAGCGTGGCATCGGACTTCTAAGTGATATCCATTCACACAGCTTAATGTGTAAGGGAGCATACGTTCATCAAGATTACCAGTGTAATGTTTACTGTGGTCACCCATTAGGCAGGTAAACGCCAATCTGTCTTTCCTAGTGTAAGTGTAGAAGTTGGACACTGTGGAATGTCTTTCCTAGCATTTAATAATTCGCGATCATTATGAACTGTCATAGGTGAGTTACTGTCTATCGTCACATCCATTCCCTTTAACTTTTTACTAATTAGGACATTTAATAGTAAGGGAAGTGGTAAGTATACGAAGACACGTCAAGCAGTTGAGGTTGCAATAAGGAAAGTATGGCGACATATTTGCATTGGAAAATATCTGTCTACGGAAAATTTGGGTTGTTTCGCCAATAGTGGTACGCGTTAATTACAAACATCAAGTAACTTAGTTCAAAGTGTTGGGGAAAATTTGATGTAATTCCGCTATAATAGCTGATTGGTGAAAGTAAGAAGCCTTCAGTGTACTTCTAGACATCACCTTCACATGTAACTTTAAGATAAAGTGAAGCTTGAGAATTCTCCATGGATGTAACAGACGTTTATCCGTGTGAATTTTCAGATGGTTGTCTAGAAAGACGATGAAGTCTTCTCTGTTAAACCATTCACCTCAGAGGATACAAATACGCCGTAGTCATCCACTTGAGCTAAAAAGCTTCCCCACCATTTCATCTTACTGTCAAGTAGATCTGGCTAGCTGACTTGATGTGATCGATTCTGGTGAACTGAAATGTGATTTAACAAATTATTTACGCACTGTGCATTTGATATTATCATTTCTTATAGTTCTTCTATGTTGGTCAAAAACTTGCCCTGTGCATCAAGAAAAGCATTTCCAACAGGCCACTGCAGACTTTTAAAAACGGTTGACTTTGCTGGCTCTACATTGAAGATCAAATGACTCACTGGCCAGAAAGAATTGTCAACAAGAAACTATGTATAGACAAACCAACAAAGAACCTCCTGTTCAACAAATATGCCGAAGAAAATGGAGATGGATCAGACAAAATCCAGTGAGGAGACCACCAAATGACATCGCGCTCAGTGCAGGCCATCTCTCGAGTGGAACCTGGCGTGTGGGCGATGATGAAATGGAGGCGATCATGTGGGGCGGAGGAGATGACAGCGTATTGGGCAAATGTGTAGTCAGCTTAACAGGACAACAGAGAATCGGATATAGTGGAAATGTGATGTTGAAGTTCTATGTTTCACTCGGAATCCAAGGGAATAATAATAATTATTATTATTTAGTTTTCTTTGAGCATTCCATAAATTAGGAGTTTTTATCAAATAATAACGATGTTTCGATGTCAAATACTTGTAAAGTATGTATTTAGTATCTTAGATTAAACTAAAACATTCAGAGAAGACGAAAGCCAGAATTGATAATTTGGACACTGAGCACATCTTCTTACACTTAAACTCTTAAACCAGCTTTTTTGGTCAGGATTACGATTTTCCAACTTGCAATAAATAAGCAGACTTGCATTCAAGAATAACGTTCTGGCATTTTTAGGAAGTGATCAAGAAGGATAGAAATAATCTGAATAACAGCCGTGCAAAACCACTGAAACAAAAGAAGGCAGCCAAAGCTAATAATGACATGTGAAAATACACTAATGTGTGAACGCATCCGTATCGCTGGTTCTAATTTGAACAATATCAATTCAAACTGTGTATATCAATTTGATGAGTGTGTTTGTGGAAGCAAATACACAGATGGTAGAAAAAGGCGATTGTCCACTCGTATGATAGAGTATATGCCAAGGCAGTTGAAAACAGCTACAGACAAAGTGTCTAGAGATTCAATAACAAAGGATCTTGTAGACAACTGATATGATATTGACGCTATCAAGCCACTCATTGTTGTCAGCAGACAAACATCAATGTAATACCCACTAGCGACTGACCCTATTCAGGTAGGTAGTTACCTGATTTCTAGTGGGAAGTCGTGACCAGTATGGTGCAGCAGGTCGGGTGTGAGGACAAATACTCGCCGAAGACATTGGCTAGCAGTAGCGCTATGTCGTGAATTGGCGAAAGTTGAAATTCATGGGACATTGGGTTGGGCCCCAGTGGCTTAATGGTCGACGAGCTCGCCTTGTAACCGGAAGGTCCTGAGTTCGAGCCCTGGTGGGTGCATACTGCTGAATGTCCCCAACTGGTTGTCCAGTACTCTCAGGTTTCTCAGTGGTTCTCTAACCGATGTCAGCTCATGATGAAATCCTTTAACCAATCAATCAAATCCCTACAAACCAATACTTGAAACGGGAAAATGCTTGCAATTACGGAGGCTCGTGCAATTTGAGTTAGCAAACGAAATCTCTGTATACAGAAGGAAACGGTGTTCACTATGAATCTACCATGGTAACATGTTTTATTTACTATTATTAATGTTTTATTCCACCTCTTATTAATACTATTTCTGGTTCATTTAAAATTACCTTTTATCATTACCATTATCTTAACTAGTTTTAACATTACTACTATTGTTACTGTTATTATCAATACTATTTATATGAATATTATTCAGTTGTCAGTTCTTGATATATTGAATTCCTTCCACTCACTGATAACCAATTGTTTATTTAAGTGATGTAATTGAACCGTATGCATTTCATCTTAATTTTATGCCTGTGTATGTAGAGTATCCCGCTGAAAACTTCTACCGAAATTTGATGAATCCATTAAATCCTGCCTTATTATTTTAAAATCGACCATCAGTTGTCTGCTGGATCTCAATTAAGAAGTCGATTTCGTCTACATGGGTCAGACTCTGACATATATGATACTAGTGTGGTATACTTTTGACCATGAACGTTCTCTTCTAAGTAAAAATAGTGCTGTCCACGTTTTTACACTATATCTTTTATAACTTGAAAATCCTCATTGAGTCATATAAAAGAAAAGAAGGCGTTCAGCGAAGAGACTCTTTTCGCCGAATTCATTCACTGAGCTGTACAATCGCATTTATATACAATTTTGTTCGTGTGTGTGTGTACATTAGATTTATAAAGTTTAGATAATTACGTAATATAAGTATTATTTGGCTTGGAAACAAACGTTAATTAGACAGAAAATAAAATAAAATTGATTGAGCTGCGGGGCAACAGCAGCTCGATCCTTGAATATTTGATCGACTCTGGACATCAAGTAAAACCAGAAATAAACTTCAAAGTTATCTACAGAATACAAGGCAATCTTGCAAAATGTGTGCGGATCAAACTTCTCAATATCGCAGAAGCAATGGCAATTCATCTGCTAAACCCTGAACTCTGCATACAAAAGAAATTCGTTCATTCATTAAATCTACAATGGACGTAATCTTTCGTAATTTCAGTCTTACTAATTGTATTATCTCGTCTTTTGCATTTTATTATTTCACATATTCATTTATATTATTCTCTATCCCACCCTTTTGTAATCTCTACTCTCATTAACAATGTTGCTAACTCGACCCACGTCCAATTTCTAGTCAACTCTGTTACATCATCCAATTAACTTACTTAATTTTCAACTGTATTATTCTCTCCTCCCACCCTTATTTAATTTTAACCACCACTCATTAACACTGTTGCCAACCTGACCTACTCTGAATTCTACTCAATTGTATTATGTTATCCATTTCACTTAATCAGTTTTATTTTATTTTGGTTACAGGATTTCATTATGAGCTGACATTGGTTAGAGAACCATTGGAAAGCCTGGGAGTATCGGAAGGCTGTTTCGTCCTAGTTTGGGACTCTTCATCATTATGCACCCATAGCAAGGGTTTGAACCCAGGACCTTCTGGTTACAAGGCGAGCTCGTATACCATTAAGGCACTGGGACCCAATCCAATGGCTCATGAATTCTATTTTCTGCCAATTGTTTTATTTTATTTTCTATCTCATTAACGTTTGTTTTCAAGCCAAATAATACTTATATTACATAATTATCTAAACTTTATAAATCTAATGTGCACACACAAAGAAAATTGTATATAAATGCGATTGTACAGCTCAGTGAATGAATTCACCGGAAAAATATCTTATGTCTTTGGGAGTATTTCTTTCATATAGGTTGAGATTTAATGAGCTGGGTATACGAAACTTTAATGGAAAGATGAAGATGTATTCAGCATGATAACCACACGTCTTACGTTTTGAAAAAATGTAGCAAAATACCAGTTGCTTTATAATGATTAGTATATTGATTGAAAAAACTATTAACTTAAGATTTATGCATATCTTTCTCTAATGATATTATTTTACAATATAAGCAGACAAAATCCCTGAAATTCACTTTTAGGTATGAGCAGTAGTCAACTGCTTTTCTTATCTAGTTTACAAGCTAAGTCAAAGCTTAATCGTCAAACCTCAGATTGTGAAAAAATAGATACATCTAGTGAGAAGTCGTGACCAGTGAGGTCCATCTAGATGTCACGTGTGAGGATGGATGTCCCACCGACGACATTGGTTGGTGGTCGCGCTAAATCACGAATTGGTAGAAGTTAGAATTCATGAGCTGGCCATTGAATCGGGTCTCAGTGGCTGAATGGTATACTAGCTAGCTTGCCTTGCAACCAGAAGGCCCTAGGTTCGAATCCCAGTGGGTGCGTACTGACGATGATTCCCAGACTAGGACAAAACAGCTGTCCATTACTCCAGTGCTGGTTTTCAATGGTTCTCTAACTGATATCAATCCGTGATCAACTCGTAAGATACATCACATTTAAGATTCCAAAATGTTAGGTAACAGGTATCTCATGTTTACAGTTTTGCAGATCGGATTGGTGTTTGATCATTAATTCCACAAATCTGTTTTTTTCTCATGAAACATGCGCATGAAACATAGTTTAGTGGTCATAACTACTGATTCTATGGTCGTGATAAGTAACTGCGTTTTTTGTGGAATCAACTAAGACTAACTGGCCTTAGTTTCTAGTAGATGAAACTACAACTAACTTAATTTACAGGATTTCATTATGAGCTGACATCGGTTACGGAACAATTGGAAAACCAGCTGTGAGTCCTGGATAACTTTTTCGTCAGCATAGTTTGGGACTGTTCAGCACTACGCACCCACCCCAATACCGGGGTTCCAGCCCATGACCTTCTGGTTACAAGGTGAGGTCGTAGACTGTTAGGCAGTTGGGACCCGATCCAGTGGCCAGCCCATCAATTCCAACTTCTGCCAGTACACGATATAGCGGAATCTACACAAGCCAATTTCAGCGGTATCGATTATTTCTCCTCACACCCGACGTTGACCAGTGTTCGTGCTATGTCGTGATTTCGGGAAGTTGAAATCAATGGGCTCGCCATTGAACAGAGTCCCAGTGATTCAATGGTCTACGAGCTCACGTGGCAACCAGAAGGTCCTAGCTTTGAAGCCCGGTGGGTGAGTACTTGCGATGGGCACAAACTATGCTGACAAAACAGGCCACACTTATTTTGCAAGGGTAGGTGATGCTGCCCAGTAGCTCAGGTTGAATGAGGTGGAAGAGAACTCGAACCCTGGTCTCATTGGCCGAAATTTAAGAACTTAACTCTAACAAGTCGCATCTATTATTAGCTCCACAAATTAAATCAATAAAAATGAACAATCCTTAGATTATCATCTCACCTTTGTTTAGACATATCTCTTTCCCATAATTTTCGCATTTTCATAAATCTCCATGATTTACGCATTCTAGCGAATCGTTTACGATTATTATTACGACGTTTAGGTTTTGTCTTTGACTTGGTCTTTTCATCTTGTGATGGTGAATTATTTTGATCAGTAGTATCTGAATTGTCTGTTGAATAACCAGAGTAGGCCATTGTTGCTGTATATGCTTATATATAAATATATTCTTCCTTTTCCTGCTAAAAGAATTCTAATTCACTGTGTATACGTGTGCTGAATAATTAAAGTACGCGTTGGTCAATCACTGTTCAATGTCCAATGTTAATATTAGTTTGTTTGTTTGTTTTAATTAAACAAGAGATAATTTATGGGAAATTGTGTGATATTCCTTGGTGTAGAATTTAAATTAAGAAGAGAAAATCGAGATATTCTCCTTCATTGAATTGCATTTTTAAGGCGAATTCGCTAACCCTGGGGTATTTATACAACTTTATAGGTTATTTCTGAAATCATTATTATGTATATAAACAAACTATAATTCGATGTGCATCGATCAAGGTGCGTATGTACGTGAATGTATGTTCATGTATGTATGTAGGTCTGTATATAGGATGCCTAATGTCCTTTATCTTAAACAACTAATTAACTAATTAGTTGAAAATAGTGATACTTAGATGTTACATCATATTGTACAATACTATTACTATTACTGTTATTATTATTATTATTGACATTATCGAATACAATTCACTGTAGCTATCAAAGAATGTATATATATATAAACAAAATAAATTAACCAATTAATAAAAATGACAATAATGTCAAATTCCATTCATTTTTATACATAATACGATTGTTTAAAATGTCTTTTTCTTTCAATCATAATCAAGTGTTAATATTGTTTAAAATTTCAAAATATAAATATGCACTATTTTCAAATAGTCATTATATAAATAAAAGAATGTATTTTAATCTGAAATGTGTAATATAAAGCCTCAAAGAGTCTGAATGATAGTATCACATCTCAGGGTGTTTGCCAGTTTACATGTATGCGTGGTCACATGTACATAAATAAGGACGACCTATCCATATTTTCTAGTTAGGATTGAAGAAGACAATCTTAAGTTCATTTGTTAGATTTCATGAAGAACTAGCATCAATTAGAGAGATCATTGAAAGCCAGAGAGCACTGGACAACTGTTTCGTCCTATTTCGGTGCTCTTCACAGTGCGGACTCTGCACTCCATGATGAGTCCAACTTCGAGATCTACAGATTATGAGACCGAACTGGTTGATCAACTGAATCAATGACGAGTGAATTGTAACTTTGTCAATTCGTGTTATACCGCCATCCTAACCAATTCCTTCAGTGAACATTCTTGTGTGACTTAAAGAACAAACAAGGCTGTCTAAGTCAATCGCAATGATGTCGTTTGGACAGGTGATAAAATCGATTTCAGTAGCACCTTTCACCCTGTAACAACAGAAGACAAGGGCCAGACAACAGATCGTTTATTAAGGAAAATCAACACATATTTATAGATTTTAATGTACATTATTGTAGATTATTGTTAGTAGAAAATACACTCTTTTGATTGGTTGTTTCTCACAGAAAGTTAACCTTGCATCTCTTTGCGGCTGTGTCAGATCGTCCATTTGCTAACTGTATCCGCCTACGCAAAGCCTTTGTTCTCATTTTCTCACCACCAATATTGGGGACATAAACATTGACGTCAATTACTGTCTACCAACTTTGGCTAGCAGCCAGATCTCACCACAATCCCACAAATAAAAGAGGTTTGAGGAATGTACGTATATTCGTGGAAGTCTTAGCCAATAAACGGTTTAAAGCCGCTTAATGTGTTAAAAATTAGTCATGATTACTTTGAAACTACCTCGATAATAATCGAAGTTTATAACCGACATTTATTTTACTTATTAATATTTTTAGCCTGCCTCTCTTCTTATCTCATTTCTCTACCCCTTTTATCTGTGATCTTGATCTGTAAAATTTTATCTGTATTGATAATATTTGGATTCATAGAAAATACCCATTGTAACCTATAGAAAATCTAAGCAGGTGATTCAGCGTTGAGACTCTTTTCAACGAATTTATAATCAAGCTGTACAATCCTATATTTATGGCTTTTTTAAGAAATTATATCCGGTGAGGGAATTGAATCATAGGTGTGAATGCATAAAATAATAATAATATTAGTATGAAATGCAATTAAAAAATCTTTTCATTTTGTCTATTCAGTTTGTATACTCTTCCTTTATTACGTAAGTTGTTACTATTACTATTCTCACTCCGAACTGTCCCCGATATTATTTCATTTGTTCCACTTGTCATTTTAAATCATTTCTGTTTTGCAACGTTAAATTCTATGTTACCAAATTTCACACAATATTACGTAACGTTTTTATTTTATTCGATTTGCCTACTGATCCTATAGTTGCACACCTCTTCCAAATTCTATACATCCTATGAATTATTTTCTATATGACATTAATTGTCTCACCACTTGACATTTCAAGTATTGCTTTTGTAGGGAATTTGTTTAATTGAATGGAGGATTTCATCATGAGCTGACATCATTTAGAGAACCACTGGAAAACTTGGGACTACTGAACAGCTGTTTCGTCAGCCCAGTTTGGGACCCTTCATCAGTACGCTCCCACCGGGGTTCGCACCCAAGACCTTCTGGTTACAAGGCGAGCGCGCCCGTAGACCATTGAGCCACTGGGACCCGATCCAATGGTCTTGAATTCTGACTTCTGCCAATTCAAGACATAGCGCGACCACTTCGCAATGTCTTCTTCGATGAGTTACTGCCTCATATTCAACCTGCTGCACCGTACTTGTCACGGCTTCCCACTAGAACCCCAGGTTAACTGTCTGAATAGGGCGAGTTACTAGTGAGCAGCGGATTAATTTTGAAGTATTGCTTTTGTAGGGTCGAACCCTGGTGGGAGCGTACTGCTGAAGAGTCCCAAACTGGGCTGACGAAACAGCTGTTCAGTACTCCCAGGTTTTCCTGTGGTTCTCTAAATGATGTCAGCTCATGATGAAATCCTCCATTCAATCAAACAAAATCCTTACAAAACCAATACTTGACATTTAACTATGATTATAATCACAAAGATTTTAGTTTTAATTGCATTTCATACTATTATTATTATTTTATGCATTCACACCTATGTTTCAATTCCCTCGTCGGATATAACTTCTTAAAAACCATATATATACGATTGTACAACTTGATAATAAATTCGTTGTTGGAAAGAGTCTCCTCGCTGAATCTCGTGTTTTGGTTTTCTAAATATTTGGATTCTTTATGCTCTGTTGCCATACCATACAAGTATGTTTGACAAGTATGTGTGTTCCGTAAACTGTCTCGTGCATTTATGCCATTGAGAGAAGACAAGAGGAGGCAATACACAATGTTGCTTTTTAGGTATGTGTATGAATGATGAACTCAAAAGGCTGTTTACAAGTGAATAATCTCTTGTTTGTTGGTTTAATTAAGAATAATGAAAATTTCAAATGTCTTTTGCGCGTGGTGACACTGTAACCACAGAACAGTTATTAATTAGCAACTCATAAACTTGTTATTTTGTGTTGAGTTGAAGTAGTCACTGGTCTCTTCTGTTTATGTCAAGACAAGTTGGTGTATCAGGCAGCACAGAAATGAATACGTCACCGAGTCATTGTTCTTGTGGAGCTGAGTACCTTGATCGTACTATGGATCGATTTGTAGACCAGGCTCATAAATACTTTGCGGACTAAGTAGAAAAATGAGAATGGGGATAGAATACCAAGTGGTTTCAGGACACTTCAGTTCATTTGAGAAGTCCCTTAGAGTTTAATATAATATCCTATCATACTTCTAAGGCTGTGAGGTTAACACACCCAAATATACCTGAAGCATCAAAACCCAAAACTTTTTCTAGGCATCTGTGTTTATGCTAGAAAGCTATATTTTCAAGTGTTAGTTTGTAGACATTTGTTTCTGAACACGGATTGATATCAGTTAGAGAACCATTGAAGACCAGCGCTGAAGTACTGGACAGTTGGGATCGGTAGTACGCGCCTACTACGGTTCGAGCCTAGCACTTTTAGGTTACAAGGCAAACTCGTAGACCATGAAGCCTCTGGGACCAGACTCAACGGCCAGTCCATGAATTCTAACTATTACTAATTGGTGATTTTAGTGCGACTGGTACCAGCTAACATCATCGCTAGTGAGTGTTCTTCCTCACTCCCTACCGGATTCATCGTACTGGTCACAACTTCTCACTGGAACACCAAGTAACTTCATCCTGTAGTAATTAATAAGTTGGATAACAATGCGCGAGTTCATAAGAAATCAAGACAACGGAAAACAAGCGAAACTGCATTATATCAACGATGGAAGCGGTTAAAACCAAAGATTACTTAATCGAATAAAAGCAAGAGTCCACTGCGCAAGAAAAGACTGATATCTGCTTCCTAATGAATACATAGATAGGATTGTAAGCGTTTGATGATACGTTGTTAGCATGAGACCCATATCCATTTGACACAAATACATAACCGTTTTGTTTAAATTTTATTGTTATTGGTTGAAAGTTATCAGTAGACCCAATCTCTTTCAAATCAGTTATTTTGTCTTTATACTTATACTACTGCATATTGTTAAAGTAGCTAATTTTTTACTGTAAATATTTCAGATTGTAACATTAAAATGATCCTCAGACAGAAATGTAAGTGTAAATTTATCATTTAATTTCACGCATATTTACTTGTAATGCGCTGATAAAGCTTTATTTATTGCCTAGAATACCTGTGATGGTCTTGAATACGCAGACGTTTACTGTTATAACGTGGAATTATTGAAAGGTGAAAAGATCATACAGTTAGCCTACGAAATTCAATTAGTATCTCCTGAATAGCTAGTCTGGAACTGTAATGACTGTGACATAAGACAGAATTGCTAACCTGCATTGAAATGTACTGAAATCATGATACGCTTGCTCAGATGTTAGATGATGAGTGAATATACTGTCTAGCGCCATCAGATCCACCACCCATCTAAATTTTGCTGTTTTTTGATAGGAATCTCGATTCAATTGTTGATTATAAGCAATAAATTGTTCCAGTAGCGTACTCATTAAGTCATCAGTCACCCTATAGCTATAGCCTCAGCCTTCACAGTCGTCTACAAGGCAAAAAATAATTTGCCCACCTCATCAGGTATCTACCTTATTTGTATTACTGAAGATTTTTCTATAGAAATAGAAAAGCCAAGTCTCTGTATGCAGAAAAAGTTTGTCCGGTCGCCACTCTCCCGACTCCCATCGTCTTAATTCCTCTATCTCGCAGTATGACAGCCTTCATTTATATTTTGCCTCTACTTATTTTTCGTTTTAATTATTCAATCTGTCTACCCTTCGCTTAATATGTCAGTTGTTACTATCACTTGAATTTGAATT